AATATCGATTATGATCCTAAGAATCGTGTTTTAATTGTAGTCATTTAATGTTGTTTGATATTTGATTTATAATTTCAATGATTTTGGTATGTTTTTCATGTCGAAACGTATTCTGGTAACGATAAATATTTGATCGAGATTGACCGTTTAATTCGCAATGACATGCAAATATGGCGGAGAATAGTTACACTCGTCTTCACGAAAAAGATGGAGGCCATCTTAAAAAATATTTCATCATATATTTGTGTAATATTTAAACATATGTTCCTTTCATATAAAAATATCAGAATTTAAAGTAGATCAATCGAGTATTTCAATATTTTGAAGTGATACGTAAGAAAAATCGAATAAAATTCGAGAGTAATACGTAATTAGTGTTCGTAATATATGATCAGACATAAGTGAAAGGAAAATTTAAGCCAAGCGTTTCTGCAATTTTTATTTTTATTTTTCCCTTTTTTTTTCTTTATAATGAGACGAGTGAACAAAGGATACCAATTGTATGATGCACACAGTACAGTAAGCAGATAATATTTACAAACATGTGAAAGATCTTAGCAGGTTGACTTTTTTTTTCTTTTAATTTGTTAATTATATTTGCTGTTGAATTTTGCTGGAAAGAATAGTATGCACATTAAATTAATAGCGTTTTCTTTTCGTGAAATAATTAATGAAGAGTTCATACGCGTACGATAGGCGTGTTTTTGCCAAGTTGTTTAAAAGAAATGTTTTAAACTATTTTGCTAACATTGGTACTTTCAAGATCATATAATTATAAATATATTCTATCGCTTTAGAAGTATATGTCTCTCTCATTTTTGTATTTGTACAATATTTATATTTGCAATTGATATAACATAATTCGATATTCAACGCCCCTAGAGAATTCCACTCGGTAATTATATGGATGTAAAAATGTTTGCAAAATATTTCGTTCCCCCGGAATATGCGTGTATATATTCCTTCACGAATCAATCGGAACGTAGCTTTAAGGTGTTTTGTAACTTGATATACCGAGTTCACTGAAAACCACGGGCCACCATTATATAGAAACCGCATCTCTATATTTTCGGTATGCAAGAACGGTGAGAAAAATAAGTTTTTTTTTTTAAGGCCGTTGATTCAAAGTTTTCTAACTAGTTTGATTGAAAAAGTGTACGATAAAAAATTTAATTAAATTTAGCTAGATCTTCGATAATTTGGTAATCTTCTTTTTTTCTCTTGTATTCTGTCATAAACTTATTAGCTAATATGTAATAAGTTCATTCACAGGGAGAAAGGTAGGTACGTACGCCTGTATGTATACGTGTACCCATACACGTATACATATATAGATGCACGAATTTATACTTTTATCATATCT